TCTCACTTGACAAAGTTAATTTTAGTCATTTTCATAAACAGATACAAAAATGAATAAAATTCACATCTCTTATTAGTGCTCTAGCATTGGTCATTTTTGAGCTGAAGCAACTGGCTAAGTGACCACTGAAAATAATGTTAAAATCTCGTCTGTATTGATATCCTATAAATGCATAAAAACAACTCTCCATCAAATTCTCTAAGTTTTACAGTTTTCAAAAAATGGCATACCCCAGAATAACAAGTGACCTGCCCAAGGTCTCAGAGGTGGCGAGAACTGCCAACAGCTAGGCCACCAACCAACTGACCACAAACCCGCTCCTTCCATAAGTACAAGAGAGAGGAAAGGACCATCTGGGTGTCTTTCAGAAATCAGAGGAAGAACAATCTCCCCAGCAAGGGACCGTCAGGACCTTAAGGCCATCTGCTCTCCAATTCTCTTTCATGATCCTCCAGTGGAAAGGCCAAAATAAGTCCTGTGCTTTTAGAAAGCTGTGAAATAGCTGTGGGAGAACAACCTTGGAGTGAACCTGATATTGGGTGTGTGTAAATGGTCCATGACTCTGCTGTTTAGTGCACATGAGTCACCCAGAACACAGTGAGGCTCCAACATAAACCATGTCCTCAGGCCTCACCCTCAGCCCCTGCCACAAGCTTATTCACACATGATGTGCTCGCCTGGCACCCAAAACTCCCAAATCATCCATGAGTCAGAGCTCATTACATGGAACACTTCAGAGTTACTATCCTAATATTAGGACATTATTTTCTTAATTGAACCAAAGAAAGGAACCTGGGAAATGAGGGGGCCAAGTTGCTACTTAGGCATTGAAGGATATGAAGCAAGACCAAAGGCACCAAGAAGAAAACATTCCACGGTTAGCTTTCCCTAGAAGGGGTCAACGGCTCTAGTGCCAGACTCCCGAGTTCCAAGCCCAGCTCTGCCTCAGCATATGTGTGATCTTGGTCATATTGCCCCGTCTTCAGCTTCCTCATCAGTAAATGGAAATCAGATAGTATCTGCCTTATAGGGCTTATTCTTAGTAAAACAATAATACCTAGAATGTATATGTAAGTAAGTAAGTGGTATTATTATTTTGCCATCAGAATACCTACAATGAATCATGTAAGTATTCTATTTCATAAATATATATGCTATGAAGTTTAACCCATTAACCCATGGCAACAAAGATAATCATGACATTGAATTTGGATAGCTTTGTTCATTATAAGTTTGCTCAATATTTGATATCTGGAGTTGGAAAACAAAGTAAGTTAGAAACCAGTAACCAATATAAACCTCAATGATATCATCAGTGAATTTAAGAAGATAATCTTTAATAATGTATCTGTTTATGTAATTGTATCTTAGAACTAAGTCTAGGTATATTTTCTTTAACTTTTAGGTCCATGAGCTTATTTTCCTTCTTGCTAAAGTTCAGAATCTAATTTCTAACACCGGTTACCACTGTAATAAACTCTACAAGCTTTAAAATGACAGGTTGAAAGATACAATTTTTTAGAGTTATGAATTAATAGCCATATATGTCAAAGACTTTGAAAGTGCCAACTTTTTCATATTTATAGATATATTATTGAAATGATAAAAAATGAACTGCAGAAAGAGGAGAGAACTGAGAACCACATATAATGAATCAAACATACTTAACAAGACATGTACAGACAGTTCGGTGTGCTTCTCTTTTATTACATTACATTAATCAAATACTGCTAAAGACATCCATCTGAGCACAGTGTCACAATGTTATTCTATAAAAACATTCTTTTGAAAAGAGTCCATCCTGACAGCAGTATCAACTATATTGTCTTAAGTGATTGTCAGAACCACATTTCTCAGAAATTAAGACAATTTCTGTATGTGCCTCTTGAGCTCTCCCCCCACCCTCCTCCTCCCACCCCACTCCCAACAAGCTGGCTTTTTAAAAGAACATAATTTAGTTGGAGGAAATGCACAAACTCTGATAATGACTCAGAAAAAATCTGTGTGTAAATTATTTAAATTTTTGAAAGTACGCATGATATCAGTTCTGGTTTTTAAGTTTTCACAAATTAGAATAGAAAATTCTCGTTATTTAGCAAAACAATTCATCTGTCTTTAAGGGGATTGTACCTAGTTATGATGAGCTATGTTTCCATTTGTGCGTTGATAAACTACCTAAGTATTGAAATTTTTATATGTAATCATTTATAATGTGTATTTGGATTTCTGTTTAAATTCTACTAGAGTCCTACTTCATGGAATACTAAAACTATCACTTAGTATTCTATTTAATATTAAGAGGAACACATATAAGAGCAAACAGATGAGGAATATGAGAACTATGTCAGGGTCAGTTGCCATCAGACTATGCAAAAATCATGCTATATTATTATTAAGTCCCTTCTGTTATAGTCAGATATTTAGAAAAAATAACAGTAATGTATTTAAAAACACATCCTCTCTTGTCTTTAAATAGCCCATGTAATTCAACTAATATATCCAGATAATATTTATAGTTCTCTACACATATGGTTTGGTTTTGCTATACTTAAACTAGATCTTTAAACAATTTAGGTGCCAATTTTTTTTTTTTTTTAACCTGAGAAAAGAAACTTCAAAGAACTTTAGGGCTAGAAGTTTATCTTAATTACTATGCAACTGAACAATCAAATTCTAAAAACTCTAAGTTAGTAGCTAAATGCAAGACTGATTTTAATATCTTTATTTATTTATTTATTTATTTATTTTAATCCTCATCCGAGGACATTTTTCCATTTTTTGTACAGACAGAGTGGGAGGGAGAGAGAGGAAGAGAGAGAGAGGGAAACATCGATGTGAAAGGAACACATCGAGTGGCTGCCACCCGCACGACCAACCAGGGCCGGGGACAAACTGCAACCAAGGTACATGCCCTTAGCGGGTACCGAACCCGGGCCTCTCCGGACCTTAGGCCGACGCTCTAACCACTGAGCCAAACTGGCCAGGGCAATATCTTTATTTTTAAAGACAAACTATGTACGAATAATGACAGCTAGAAAGAGGATAGAGGTGTCCATGAACTGCTTAGTCAGCTATCTATAAAAAGCTTTGGGGAAAAGAACCAATGAGGCCAATTGCACTTTTGCCTTCATATAGATTTTCAGTTTGAGAATAAAGTTTTCGGAACTCCTGAAAAAAATAAAAAAGAAAAGACTTCACCTAACAAATAAGCACCTATTTTACAGTTTGAGGTAATACAGCTGGAAACCTCGCTTCTAAAATTACAGTAACTGCAAAGAAAGAAAAGCCAGCGTGGACATGATGACTTTTAAGATTGTGTTGAAGCCAGCTCCAAAATCTGGTCCTTTCTACAAGGCATCTGTAAGGCAAGATCTTTTCTTCTGCTCCTTGGCACACTCAGCGGGACCAGCCTGACTTACTGCTGTCACCCACACTGACCTAATGAAGTCTGTCTCTGTATGACTAATGTGCATTAACCTTGCTCTACTAGAGCATTTCTTACTTGAATGTAAAATAACAATAACCTGGTTAATTTTTTTTTTTAATCACTCTCATCATTTGTTCACTAGGCCAAGGCCCCCAAATCAAAGCAATTTCTCCCTTCAGATTTTATACTGCAAAGCTAGATTTATTTTATTCTAACTTTTGACCCTTAAAAAAAAAAAAAACCTGTATAATTGCACTAGTGTTCTGGATGTTGGAACATGATTTTGTTTGATATTGCTCAAACTAGAAATGAACTTTATCAAGAAAGTTTACTAATATTCTCTATTTTATTGTTTTGTTAATCCTCACCTAAGGCTGTTTTTCCATTGATTTGTAGATAGAGTGGAAGGGAGGGAGGAGAGACACATTGATTGGTTGCAGGACACCGACCAGGGCCAGGGATTAAAACTGAAACTCAAGTATGTGCCCTGGACCCGGACTCAAACCTCCAACCCTTCGGTCCACAGGCCAACACTCTAACTGCTGAGCCAAACCGGGCAGGGCTACTAATATTTTTTAAATATTCTGGAAAAGTATAGAAGGCTTTGATTTCAAATAAATATAAAGTGTGTTATTGATTTGGATTTTGACTAGAGTAAAGGACGAATCTGGCTATTGAGTCCAATGACTATAATCTAGTCATCTGTCATATGAAAGATGAATACAAGGAACAATTTAAGTAATTTTCTCTAACCCTGACCACACGTCTACCAGGTAAGTACATCACTCTTATTTGACCAGTGAGGAAATGAAGGCTGAGTCCATGGAGTGACTTGCCCAAGGTCACAGCAGTGAAGTAGGCAGATCCCAGATCAGATTAAATTCAGGCCTTTAAGACTCCTAAAGTGTGTTCTTGGGAGTCCACTGGACTGCTGGCCTGGGTGTGATCAGTCGGTTCTCCTTCATAATGACTTATTGGAACTAGTCAGTCAGGGCTCAGAGACGTTCTTCTCTAGATGGGGGTTTGAAAGAGCCCCACAGGCTTGGCCCAAGGAAGCCCTCTGCATTTGGGGACAGCTCGAAATGAGCAGACATTGAATGGGGAGATTTCCTAAGAGGTCTTTTTCCAAGTGTTTACACATAACAGTCACAAGAAAAATTTAAAAGCCAAAGAACTAGTTGCATGTGTAAATTCACCTCTGTTTTTTCCCGTTTACTAATCTAACAAGATTACAAGAAAAAAAAAAAAAAAGGTACCAAGTAGAAAAATATAATTTAAAACAGAGATCATCAACTAGTAGCCTGGGGCCTGAAATCTTGTTTCAACCACACAAAAGTTTATGTTTTTTTAAATTTCGTTTCAACGCTTTAAAAAGTGGGTATTTTTTCATTAAACTCCAGATTTCTGGCTTCTCTTAAGAATTTGGGAAATCTGGCCACCCGGTACCCATAGTCTAACAATTGGCTAGAGCAAAATGGATGTCACTCAAATTTAGAGAGGCCACATACTGTCCTGCTTGCCATGACTTCCTTCCTCCCCACCACATTTCAATATGTTCAGTTACGTTACTCACTTGGAACCTATACGCATTTTCGAGAGTTAAGCGCTGGTCCAAAGCATTTGTGGGATCCTTAGAGAACTGGTCCAGCCTCGACTTTGCACAGACTCCTTGCCCAGCCTTTCACACGTCAATACCAACAGCTCTCCATCAAGTCCGGGAAGCTGATGAAAAAGAAAGAAATAGGCTTCAGCAGGAAGGTAAAGTCTGTCTCTGAGTAATTCATGCTTCTTTTCAAACAAGCTGAGCTGCCATTGCTCTCCTAATCCCAATTTTCCAGTGTAGAGGCTGCAGCTATGAACGTTGGTTTGATTCCAAAGCAGGAAAGAATTTCTCAACAGGCACCATCTCTCCCAGTCGGAGCAGCAGGCAGGTAAAGCAACCTGCCAATTCTCAATGCCTCTTTGGCGCTGCTGAGGGAGGACCTGGGGGTAAAATAAGCAACAAACGGGGAGAAATTCTATTCAGAATGAGATTCCCTGGTTGTGTTCTTCCTCTTTTCTCTGTTTGCATGCTTATAGCCCCCCATGATCTTCTCACTCATCCAGAGTTTTGAAACAGAGCAAACACTCAGAAACAATTGGCAGGTGATTTCAAGTCATTACCTGCCTGCCACGCTAATTACAAGCCATTACCTGCCAGCAGCATGCAGTTTTGTACAGTTTGTGAGATACAGGGAGGGTCTACTTAACTGGAAGGATCATTTTTCTCTGACTAAATAATGCCAGCGTTGGCAGCCCTGCGCCTGCCGGTGTTACGTAACGTTCAGCTGGTACTCATTCTGCGAGGATCATCCCTGAAGATGCGCTCACATGCATTCCGCGTGGAGGAGGCCAGGAGGACATCCGGAGTTTTCTGCCATTCATTACTATTTGCCTCCAATTTCACATTGTTATGTATTAAGGGGGGACACAAAGCCAATTTTGCAGTTTTCCCTACTATAATGAGTCTTTGAAAACGTACAAAATACAGAGTGAATAAAACTCTACCATTTTGAAAGTGCATTTTATTATAAATATGGTTCTCGATTGCCACCTGTTATTAAGTATCAATAAGATAAAGTTCCATTACAATCTTAATTTCCACTTGCAGAATGGATATAGCTAATGTATGTAAATTATGCACGCCTCTATTAAATGGAGGCCCATCAAAAATTGTCACTTCTAATCCATACTGTAGAAAAACTGTGACACAATGGATAATTAAAATTTTTAATGCTTTCCAGTCACTTTTTAAATGATAAAGCGCCCAGTTCTGCTGCTTTCGTTTTTTTTAAGTTTCATTTTATTTTATTGTTCTCCAATCTCAGCATAAGGAATACAGGGATTTACTAGCTTCTAATTGCCATAGTTAAAACCCCATTGTTTTACTCTTCTGTAACTGGGCAATGAACACAAAATATACCAGGTATGTCACACATTGTATTTTGACAGAACTTTGAGGATAATTTATAGGATTTTCCAAAATGACACTTCTTTTTTATTCAGCAGCTTGAACATAAAGACAGAACACTCTTCTGACTGCAAATACAGCAATTATACCAAGTTAGGGTTTGACACTGTTACCACAGGCAAGTGGCCAAAGAGCATCCGCAGTCAAAATATCTAAGCAAGTTAACAAGCTCCCTTTACTCTCTACAGAGCGGGAGAAGAAAGGGAATCCAACCCCTGAGAGATGTTGAAATGAAGGAGAAAAAAAAAGCTGTTGGTGTTTGTTAAGGAAAATAGTGTCAGTAGCTTGGGCTGATCAAGGTGTAGAATCTGAGGCCCTGTCAGATGCCCAGGCCTACATTTGACAGGAAGCCTTTTTCCAGGTTAGATCTGCTTGATGATCTCAACTAATGAATGACTTGTCGGCAAGCCCTTCGCTGGACTACACCCTGCTTTCACGGTTTGGTCACACTGGTCTGCCCTCCGCCTCGCCTCCCCTCCCTCCCAGCCCTTGCGAGACTGCATTGTGCCTCCTCTTTTTTCAGCTCCATTTTGTAAAATATCACCACATTCACCACACAAAAGACATTGAAACTGATTAAGTAAACTCCAAAGAACTATTACAAATCATTTTGCTTCAGCCAGAGATATCAGATTTAATTAGGTGATTGGTGTTGATGGGGGACAAAAACAAAAGCTATCTTCTGTTTGAAAAGGTTCAGGCCCTATAGAGACCCCGTCTTCCCACTATGACACAAATAATAATTGAGCATTTATTTTTAAAAAAGAAGAAGAAGACAGGCATGAAAAGAGTTCTCTGTCAGAGGCGAAAGCTTTCATCTGAGGTTTGTTTTCTCTTTTGGCCAGGTGATTAAAAAAAAAAAAGAACACCATCTACAATGAACTAGCTATAACCAACATGGATATCACCATGACACGGAATATAAAGTGCTTCTAACAAGCATAATTTTTGCAAGTGATTAGTCAAAATCTATTTAGCCAGTCATCTCCAATGATTATCAACAGACTTGCTTAATAGTTCAACAAAAATAGTTTCTTTTTCTCCAGGATACCTGTCACATAACAGCTTTTCTTCAGCAGGTAAAACAAAAGGTTTGAGGTTAAAGTTAATATAGTAGTTAAAAGATCAAAATGTTAGTGTGATAGATTTCTTGTCCATAAGGAAAGTGGAAGAAAAATTATTGATTCTACTTGGCCCCACTTCGAGCACAGCATGGTGAACTAAAGTGAACCCCGTTTCTGTCCTTCACCAGGAGCGACGATTTTGATATATTGGCAATAAATAATATAGAATAGGATAATTATTTTTGAATCAATCTTTGTTATGAATAAGTTGTCAAACTCCGATGTGTAGATACGTTGAATCTTAAAGGATGGTATTCTTTGCAAAGAAAGGTAGCTCTGTGTTATTAAAATATTTATTGAATTAGAAGTTCAAAATGAGGGGCTTTTTAAAATTTTATACTACAGACATATGACAGCCAGACTTCTTTTGACAGTGGGAATTCATGTCATTACTGTCTTAACTCTTACTCCTACACTCATGCACACACAAACACACACACACACACACACACAGATTGTGATGGAAATCAAATATATGTTGGTTTCCACATGATAAACAGTGGGTCCCGTTTATTTCTAACTGATATTTATGGTGTGAAGCAGCTCTGAAGAATGGCTCTTTTATATGCTGTTGTTAAACAATTTTCCTGGAATTTCTGTCCAACAAATGCACATAACTTTCTATGACGGAAGAGCCTTAAAGCAAGTCTGAAATAGTCATACAAGTTACCCAAAAGGCCAATGCAATCAATATTTCCCGAGTTTAAGTCCACCTCAAAAGTCCTTTCTTCAGCTCCTAAAATGTTGCAAGGAAAATAATTTCCTACGTTGGCATTTAAATGGTATCGTTCCGTGTGAAAAGAGTTACTGAGACATTTGTTGGAAGTCAACAAAAATAATTTGGACATATTTTGAACTTATTTTATCTGACTCCTCGACATTTAATTTGGTGTGAAAAACGGCAACGGTAGAAAACAGATGTTAAGGGGCCAAGTATACAGCAGAGGTCAAAACAAACATAAAACACCACTTCCATTTCTAAAAGAGGGGGGGTGGGAATGATTCGTCCAGCAACAGGTTCTATGTTAAACCTGCTTTTTTATTGTTCTGCTTGGGATATCTGTAGACTGCACAATGCAATGCTGTCTGCCGTGGAGCAATACCTCTCAGCACTGGTAATTTAAGACTTTCTTCTCTGTAATACACTGAACCATCATAACCTGTCTCTTCCCATTTAGTTTAACCTACAACCACCACATACTGATTTGGCTGTGTGTGGCTTTTTCTATTGCCATTTATTACTCTGCTCGACTCCTGAAATTCTGTTTGCAATTTAAGGCCACAAATTAGAAGCGTAAGTCATCTGTTTCCTATAATCCCCCTGTCAGGACTGGAATCGCATTTGGAGCTCAGCACTGAGTCTGGGCCTGGGCCCTTACAGACTTTCTGATTGGCTGGCCTCGCTAAAAGCTGCAACAGAATAAATAAAATGCTCTGGAAAAATAGAGCTTTTTACCAAAATAATAAGAAAGAGAAGGGGAAAAAAAGAAAGAAAAGATGAAAGAAAGGAAACTGGGTTTCAAATATTTTCCTCTCCCTTTCATAATAATCAAATCAATTGTTACCGTGGTAGGTTGGTTCTTTTTTTCTCCAATAAATTACAGAGCTGAATATTACTCCTTTAAGAGCAAAATGCTAAGTATTTAAGATTCCCTGTGGGAGGAGAGTGTAATCCCGCTTCAAACAGTATGTAGTTTGCTGCATGTGGAATCTCTTTCCTAAATCCTGCCATGTTTCTTACAAAACACAATTTTTATATTGCAGATATACTAATTAGCCAGGTATGTTTTTTAATAGTGTCATAGATCTGTTACTAAGCTAAAAATCTATGAAGCCTAATCCATTACCAAGCCTTCCCTTTTAAAATATTTTGGCAAATTTTACTTAGTACCCCTGGATTTTGTAGAAAGGCTTCCATTTATCTTTTTAAAAGACATTTGCCCTTTAAATAGCATACAAATTTCAAGAATTGGGGAATATGACTGTTTCTTCTTTTCTTTTTTCCTCAGCTCATTTTAATAGATTTCCTCCCAACCCTGCTGGGGCTGCAGAGTCTTTCTGCATGTCATCTTAAAATATTTCCATTTTCTTTTCATTTTACTTGAAGTGCACAACATATTAGATCACACAGTAAAAACAGCAAGTAAAAAATGTAAATGGAGAGAGATACAGAATAGCTACATCTAAAAACATATTCTGAGTTCTCAGTGGCTTTTCAAAAATCATTAATTAACAGGAATAAAATCCAACAGGACGACTCATGTTTATTAATATACGAGCTATACCTGGACCAAAAGGTTGGAAATGCATGTATCAATATTAGCTGAATGCCGAAACGCAGAGTTTATCTTTCAAAGGAAAAAAAAGTTCAGGGGGAAATCTACATATTTGATGCAAGCTAAATTTTAGCCAAAAATGAAAATTAAGTTAAAAATAGTAGCGACTTTTAGAGACAATTTTAAAGTTACACGACTATTTACAATACCACTTCTGGAAATGTATTGTGCTTCTGTGACTCAAATTTGATTTCTACATTTTTTTACATCATTCGTTGCAGGCTGTTAGTCTATCATGTGGCCTGTGATTTCTGGTAATTTAAAAGAAACAAAGGAGGAAAACTCGCCAAGACGTTGAGAATTTAAAAAGAGAAAGAAACAAATAGCTACTGTACATGCGCACTCTGATTATTTTCTAGGATTTTTTATTCAACCATACTTTCTATGTTGCAGATTTATTTAATAAACAAATGCATCTTCTGGGCCCATAATACACAAATGCATGCTACTGTTAATTCATTTACAGAATGCGCCATGATGGCCCCTAAGCAAAAGAGCAATCTTGTTATAATGAATGTGTACTATTCTTAATAAGCACACTGTAGCAACGACCCGCACTGCACACAAAAGCACACCCAAACCATTTGGTTTGTTCCCAGAGCTCGGACACCAGTACCACTATTAAATAGCTGTGTGCTGGGAGGGCAACCCAGTATTGGCATGCAAATGAGCGCACGGAGAGGCCAGATGCTGCTCTTTAGAAAGGAAAAGTGCCTCAGCTCCAATCTGGGGGGAGAGAGAACCTGCGAATGTTACTAACACAGGGCAGCTCCGAGATTGTTCCTTTACATTACTAACAGGGGTGGGACTGCCTGTGGGATGGGCCCAGGAGAGATGAATAGAAAAGAGAACTTTGCAAACATGTGAACACTCAAGCGCTCCATGTTTCCGTAGATCCACTAGAGATGCCCACTGCATACACACACACACACACACACACACACACACACACATACATACATATATATGACTTTATTTTTATTGTTGACACTATTATAAATGTTTAATTTGTTTTGAGGGGTGGGGGAGTTCTCCTTTCTTTCAGGTCCAGAATGATGCCTCTTGTGTTGATAATTTGAGAGATTTTATCTCTGCTTTTTCAATTGAAGGTATTATATTCATAGGAGTTCAATGATTCTCAAAAGCTTTGTCTTTTCAAATAAAATATTAGGTTATTGAAAAGTACGTGCTTTTCCCCCCCCCAAACTAGCTCATCAAGCATGATATTCATCTGTGTTTGTGAGCTTTCATAACTTGTGGTGGTTGCTGCCTTTATCCTATCACAACATTCGACTTCCTTGAGGATGGAGTAGGAGGGGAAGCCAGTCCCCGAGAGAATGAAGCTGGACTTGCAACAACCTTGGTAGATTGTGTTCCAATCAGAATCCGGACACTGTTTTTCCTCTTGACTCATTTTTCATCTTCTTTTCTTCTCCACATTTAGGGAGTCGTTGATTTATTTGATTGCTTATAGATACTTGGAGATGATAAGGATTGAAGTCATGGGAATGTGTTTTGAAAAAAGGACTAATGAAAAAGAAGCAGGAACACCCATACATAGCAAAATTTACAAGGGGAGATAACAGGACTCCTGTGATCCAGCTAATTAAAATATATAAGTGTAGCATGTCCCCTTTATACTAATGGCATTTGGGAACAGGACCTTTCTCTACCCTCCTTATTAATCATGTAACAGTAGAATTTACTATATATCTTATTTCTCTAAAAGTTTATCTGAATACTTACTATAAGGTTGATAGTGCTCAAAGCTCTAAGAAGAGTTGTATATCACAGGAAATAAAATGGCTCCTGGTAGTGGCCAAATCTACACATTAAACCTCATGAACACAGGTTATTCATTATAAACCCACAATAAATAAATCTCCTCTGCAGAAATACTGACATTAGTAAAAATAGAAACTTAGTAAAAATATATCTGGTGAGATTGTTTCAATTATTTTTCTTAGTTGATCATAGCAGTATCTTTAAATTTCTGAGCAGCCTTTTTCCATCAGTCAATTGGTTCATAAAATTTATTTGTACTCTGAATAGAAACTTTTTGAGCACCGTATTAGTTCCATAAGGCTGTGTATGTAACAAAGCATTACAAATCAAGTGGCTTAAAACAATAGAAATGTGTCCTGTTACAGTTCTGGAGGCGAGAAATCCAAAATCAGTGGCCTGGCAGGGCCATGCTCTCCCTCTGAAACGTCTCAGGAGGATGCGTCCCTGTCTCTTCCAGCTTCTGGTAGCCCCAGGCTTTCCTTGGCAGATGGCAGCCAGCTCCAACCTCTGCTTCTGTCTTCACATGGCCTTTCACCCTCCGTGTCTCTTCTACTCTTTTTTTTTTTTTTATCCTCACCCGAGGATATTTTTCCATTTTTTGTACAGATAGAGTGGGAGGGAGAGAGAGGAAGAGAGAGAGAGAGAGAAACATCGATGTGAAGGGACACATCGAGTGGCTGCCACCCGCACGACCAACCAGGGCCGGGGACAAACTGCAACCGAAGTACGTGCCCTTAGCGGGAACCAAACCCGGGTCTCTCCGGACCGCAGGCCGACGCTCTAACCGCTGAGCCAAACTGGCCAGGGCTCTTCTGCTCTTTTTAACGACATCAGTCACATTGCATTAGAGCCCACCTTAATTCAGGAAGACCTCATTTTATCCTGATTACATCTGCAAAGACACTGCTTCCAAATAAATAACTCTCACAGGCGCTGGGGGTTTGGATTTCAACATCTTTCAAGGGGAAACAATTCAACCCATTATAAGTACTTATCGAGTACCAGGCATTTGCACTTGGGAATTTTATCAATGGTGATAAAAATCCTATGAAAGTTGTGGAATTCACTATAGGAATGTTATTAACGGCATTTTTACTTCCTCATATAGAGTTCTCTCTATGAGAACTTGGGAGAATGTGTTCTCAGGACTCAGCGTAAAGAATCATTGAGTTCCTCCCAACTGTCTTTTTTTTTTTATCCTCACCCAAGGATATTTTTCCATTTTTTGTACAGATAGAGTGGGAGGGAGAGAGAGGAAGAGAGAGAGAGAGAGAAACATCAACGTGAAGGGACACATCGAGTGGCTGCCACCCACACGACCAACCAGGGCCGGGGACAAACTGCAACCGAAGTATGTGCCCCCAGCAGGAACCGAACCCGGGTCTCTCCGGACCGCAGGCCGACGCTCTAACCGCTGAGCAAAACCGGCCACGGCCCAACTGTCTTTTTAACATTAGATGCTATTCATCTCATAACTGTTTTTACTTTTGTCTTTGAATTGGCTGCTAGCAAGTTCAGAATCACATTTGGACTAACCACAAATAACTATATAATAACCACATAAATGTATTTTATATAATGAGCTTTCCCCATTTCTAACTTATTTTTCTGCCTTTTATTCCCTTTTGCCACTTTTATGTTTTTTATCTTGTCAGTGCATTGCTGGAAATGGCATTTAATGACTAATTCTGGAGCAAAGCAAGTCACAAATCAATAAATTTGTAAATTAATTAGGATGAACCTAAATTAATTTGATTTCCCCTAGACCAAAAGTAATATAAAAGATGAAATATACTGTGAAAAAGAATACCTTACAAATATTAACCTATTGTTCTCACCGAGAGAGAATAACCAAACATTAATGATATGACATAGGACATTTGTAAGATAGGCTGGATCCTCATGTACTACTAAAGCTTGAGGGAAATCTTGCAAGAAATAAAGTTTCTGAAAACTTCTGTATGCCCTACAATGAATTAGAAAAAGAAAACCAAGTAATTAACAAAATCACTTGCTTCATAATTAACAAAATCACTTGCTTCAGACAACTGAACGCTATCAAATTGCAAAAGGAACAGACACGTATTCTCAGAGACAAGATTCGTATCAGTTGGTATAGAGTATTGCAAGGCAGAGTGAGAAGAACCCGAGATGACCAACCCTGGGAAAAGGATGTCCCATTCTCTACTCTCCATTATTTGAAATGTTCAAGCAATGAAGTACCATGAGTGAGGGACTTGAAATAATGAATTTCTTTAAAAGTTGGCTCAAAGAACTACATTTCCTTCCATCCAACTCCAAAATCTTAAGATAAATGATTTATTTTAAAAATACGACCATTATTCTAACATAATTGGACCCATTTAAACAGTTTCAAAGTTATAATTTCACATTTAGAAAAGAGTTGGACATGGTCGTGGGTCTGTCCAGGCACTAGTTGTACACTAAAACTTTCTTTCCACAATGTTACTGAGTAACACAGACACAAAACCTAGAATTTGGATCAGCAGGCCATATTTCAACTTAATAATAATTTTTTTAAATATTAGCGAGAGAAAATTATGTGTCCAATGGCATGCAGCAAGTCCAGAGCATAAGCAGAATTATAAGCTACCAATCCTGAGACAGCAATTGGAAAAATAGCCATCATACCTTTGAAAGAATCAGAAAATCATGACCATCATTCCTCAGCCATTCAATTCAAGCCATGTTGGCTTCTCCTTACCCAATCCTTAGACATCTAGTTTCTGAATCCAGTGGCCAAAAGGTACAGGATGACTCTTTGGCTCTTCGTGTGACAATTGTGAATGAGTTCCAGACTTTCATAACTTTCAGACCACATCCATTCAGATCTGTGTCATTGTCATGTCTAAATTTTTCCTATTTGCACAGCACTGAGCCAAATGTACCCGGTCATCTCCCTGTAAACATATCTACTGTGCTGTGCTGCCCTTTGATTCCTGGGTTTCCTTTCAAATGAACGTGCACTTAGTGTGGTAGACAAGATCATTGCTCCTTACTCCCTTCCCCTAATGGACGACAGACTATTGTAACAAAAACTGAGCAGTCTTTCCATGTTATTTCTGGCTTTACCAGTGACATGCACTGTAACTTTACCCAAGCCACTCACCCTTCTACGAACAGGGTCCTTTCGTGGCAAACTGGAGGTCATGGGTTTCACCAGATCCTGTTCAGGAACCACTGAAGTCTGCACTTGAACGTTCATATAGACGAGGGAAAGTATTATCATTATTATTGTTGTTATTTATGACTTACACAGCTGCAGAACGTGAAGATTTACGATCTCCCCATGGATTTTACTGTGGCCTCCAGAACCTGAGATTTAATTTTAAAAGAATTAAATTTCCAGTCTGCTTTTACAGGGGTGACTGTGAGAACGTATGCTGACAGACTGTTGTCTTCAGAGGCAAAATCCAGACACACAAAGACAATGCCACAGCTCGAACAGGGGGTGACCCTTTCCCATTCATCTTAATGGAGTGTTAAACTTGAAGCCTAATTAGGTCCACTTAAATGCCAACATTATTATACTTTTCTATGCTTATCTTCGTACCAGAAACAATCAACTAATGCACTCATTTAATCTGAGTGCGTGCAACGAGCACATCCAGACGCCCTGTCACTTTGACAGCCTGCTTTGTAGTCATAAAAGTACAAGTTTTAAACTTGCATTTTGGTTGTTTTTAATTATCCACATAATTAGATTACTTTCTATTACCTTGAAATTTCCGAGGTGAGACTGTATACACATATGTATGATGTTTGTAAGGCAATGGGGCCTCATCACAATTCCCACAAGAAACTCGTATCAAACTTGCTCCCAGGATAACAAACTAAGATGTGTTAAATGAAAGATCCCATTCCTGCCCTTCAGAGAAGGTCAGCTTTATGGTTTATACATTGCATATGTGCCCAAGCTTTCTGCATTCCTTTTTCCGAGTCATCATTGCTACCTGGACTCTATTTTCATTTTTATTACAACAAACCTTGGAGGGAACAGAATTTAAAATATGTAAATCCACACTTGCCTATTTTGTAGCTAGGAGAATCCAGATCTAGGCCCTCAATTAAAAGCCCTTGACAACCTTATAAAATATCTCGTAAAACTGTATTTATTTACTCATGGCTCTAAGGAGATTAGTCTGTTTTTCTTTAATGGTCTCTGTGCCAAAATGGCATGCTAGCAAATGTTTGGAAGTTCAGCATCCAGGCTTATGGATAAAGACATTGGTGGATATCTTCAAGATAGGACAAATTTCTCTCCCCAATGCTTTCTTTCTCAACGTAGACAAACCCTGAAGCGTCAGAGTAAGAGAAAGGTGCCATGAGATAGAAGTAGCCTGCAATGTTTAGTCCCCACATGGAGAACCCCTGGAGAGACACCTGGGCCAGCGGAAGGTTCACATGATGGAAAATACTCTTTTGGTTAACCATTGAGATTTTGCTGTTAAATTGTAACTTCAACATTACTTAGCCTTTCTGGTCTAAAACAGTGTCTCAGAATTAATTTCCAAGCCTAACCTCACGAGATGGAGATCATGTATAGTTGTCATCACTGCCTTCTTTCAGCATCAAGTACAAGAGAGTGAACAAACGAAGATGCAAAAGTCACTCCAGTCACCGAGCTCTGATTTCACTACTCACTGTGTATTATACTTTGATCTTGAAGGAAGTGAATTAAGTTACATCATGAGCTGCTCTTTTTCACCAAGAAAGACACTTGGAAGACAATGGCTGCTCACAATGCTCATGGCATTTTCCAGAAACAGAGAATTAATATCCAAAGAAAGGCCAGAGTCAGAGAGTGGGAGAAAAATAATCCCTTGGGTAAAACCCTAAAATTCAGGTTTGCATTACCCAAACAGGCACCAGGGCAAATGTCCATTAGCTAGCTAAGAAATAAGAAACTATCCAGAGGGCTATTAAAAAGAATTGAAAAAACAAAAGTCATAATAATCTTTCAAAAGGAGGCTTATGTGAATAAAAACATCAAATTATATCTGAATTGAGCTGAGCAGTACTTTATTGAGCCTTTCCGATGGCACTTACAAACATCTAAACTTTTAAGACAGTTGCTCTGACAATTTGAAAGGCAAAAAAAACTGATTTTTACTTTGACAGGAATATGTTTAATGTGTTTACATTAAATCAGGTCACATGGTTTCTGTCTTCAGACAGAGTTTGTTTCCTACTCACACACTCAGTTATGAAAATTCCCTAGATGATACATAGATACTAATGAGCTCCAGCAAGGATTTAAGAAGGAAAACAAGCCTTCGGGAACCTTAGTCAAGAAAGGAATACAAGTGTGGGATGGGGAGGAAGGGGGCAGCTATCACAGGTGAATAGGCAGGCCACATGGTCAGCGAGCCCTGCGAGTTATCTAAGGAAGGATCGGCTTGGTTGCTACAGAACATTGCAGGCCACAAAGACTATGTGCACGGTGGAAGGCATGCTCACATCAGAGTCATTTGGAGCTGGGAAAACAACTCTCCAACTTACTAGCTCTGACCTTCGAACGTCAGTCTCCCCATCAGCAAAATAGAGATAAAAGTACCTACCTCATGGTATTGAATTTTGGATAATACCATGCACAAAATGTTCCTAATACACTGACCATACAGAGTAGGCTTGCAGTTAATATCAACTCCTACTACATCTGCATGCTATGTGAATTTAACTTGTTAATAGAACCATATGTACACATCAAATAGTAAGAACAGCAGTACAGATGAGTGCCCTCAGTGATGGGGTTTCCCTGAATGAGAAGGGAGATACAAGTCTGACATTTCTTGAGCTGAGCTGAAATCCTAAATGGCTGCCATAATATGAGTATTTCCCAGGGACATATAAGGGATACAGTGGAATTTTTAGGATAATTTTCACCTAAAATTTTATTTCGAATTTTATCCCTCAGCACTGTATAAGGTGTAACACTGCTGTTATAATACAGTAAGGAATCCTTGTACTGTGATTTCTGCAGGATCACTCACAGTTTTGCTAAGCAGAATTTTGTTGTTGTTGTTCCTTCCTGCACCATGAAAAGTAACATGGTATTGCAAAAATACAGCACTGGAGTGAGCAGACCTGCATTCAAATTTTAGCTTCTTCATTTACTAGTTCTGACATAAAAACAAGTCCTGAACCTCTTTGACTTTCCATTTCCCTACTAGTAATTTGGGATAACCTCAGAGGAATATGTGAGGATTAAATAAAATAATATATTCAATATGCATAGCATAATGCAAGCAAAAAATATTAACTCTCTCCCAAGCCTTAAACCTCTATAATTCTAATGCAGAGCTATCAGGACATTGTATTATTTATATGCAACTCTCTCTCTCTCTCTCTCTCTCTCTCTCTCTCTCTCTCTCTCTCTCGAGTGTGAGTTTCTCTAAAGCAATGGCTAGGATCTTGTATGCTTTGTATTTTACATATCTGGAAGGACAGAGTTGAGAATTTGACTATGGAAGAAGAATAAATCAATAAATCATCATCATTTGTTGACCACAAATGAAATAAACTATATTATCCTTCCCCTTGTTATCCCTTCCCACCCCAACAGAAACTTGAAGTCATCTGTAAGCATTGTCTCAACCCATCAACCCATCATCTCAAATTCTCTGTACTCCAAAATGCAACCATTCCCATGACTTTGATAGTGCTTTGGGCAAAATTATCACTGACCTCTATGTTGTCAAATCCAATACTCTCTGTTCTCTTACTCAAACTATCAGCACCATTTTGAGTAGTTCACCTCAGTGTTTTTCTTAAAACACTTCTTCTCTTGGCTTCTCTGATACCATGCTGTCATGGCTTTCTTCTGTTCAATCTCCTTTGCTGACTCTTTCTTTTTTATTTTTAAATCTTTACTATTGAAAGTATTGCATATGTCCCTCCTTTTTTTTTTCGCACTGTATGGGAGAGCATAGTTGCCAATGATACATCAGATAAGGGGTTAACTTTCAAAATATATAGAGTGCTCATACAACTCAACAAAAGGAAGACAAAAAAACCAATTAAAAATGGGCAGAGGACCTAAATAGACACCTCTCCAAAAAGGACATACAAATAGCCAAGAGACATATGAAGAAATGCTCAACATCACTAATCATCAGAGAGATGCAAAATAAAACAACTATGAGGTATCACCTCATACCTGTCAGAATGGCCGCCATCAACAACTCATCAAACAACAAGTGTTGACGAGGGTGTGGAGAAAAGGGGACTCTAATACACTGCTGGTGGGAATGCAGACTGGTGCAGCCGCTATGGAAAACAACATGGTGTTTCCTCAAAAAATTAAAAATGGGCCCTGGCCATTTTGGCTCAGCAGTTAGAGCATCAGCCCGTCAAATAGACTGAAGGGTGGTAGGTTTGATTCCTGGTGAAGGGCACATACCTAGGTTGGGGGTTTGAGCCCCAGCCCTGGTTGGGGTCATGCATGAGGCAACCAATCAATGTGTTTCTCTCACATTAATATTTCTTTCTCTCTGTCCCTTTCCTTTCCTTCCACTCTATCTAAAAAATCAATGGAAAAATATCCTCAGGTGAGGATTAATAAAAAAAAAAACTAAAAATGTAACTCCCATTTGACCGAGTGATTCCATTTCTCAAAATATATTCCAAGAAGCCTGAAACTCCAATCAGAAAGAGTATATGGCCCTGGACAGGTTGCTCAGTGGTTAGAGCGTCAGCCTGTAGACCAGAGAGTCCTGGGTTCAGTTCCCACTAAGGGCACATACCTCCCTCGGTTGCAGTTTGTCCCTGGCCCTGATTGGGGTCCTGTGGGTGTGATTGGTTGATGTGTCTCTCTCATCTCAATGTTTCTCTCTCTCTTCCCCCTCTCCCCCTCCCATTCTGAAGATAAAGGCAAAATAAATGTCCTTGAGGGAGAATTTTTAAAAAAAAGTGTATGCAACCCTAAGACTTCTAAACCTTGTGCCTCATTCATTCCTGGCCCTCTGCTCTATCTAGGAGCCCTTCATTCATTCATTGAATAGTGAGCACCATTCAAATGCTAAAGAATCCCACATCTTTATCCCTAGCCTTACCATTACTCAGAAATCCAAGCTCATCTAACCAACTGTTACTTGAGGTCTCCAGTTATATGTCAAATAAATCAATAGGCTTAAAAGGAAATTTTTGATTCACTATCCCCACCCCATCTGACTCCTGGCTGAGGGTTCATCTTGATAAGTAGCACTATTCTCCTTTGGAGATCAAGACAATCATCTAGCACAGGGCTTCTCAAACGTGAACGTGCATGTGAATCACTGGGAGCAGGGTGGT